CAGACCTACACAGGTCCTCTGGAACTCTGATCCCAGCTATCAAAGAGATGCATTCTTCACGCTGCTTCGCTCTCTGGGAGGTCCGCTGCCTTCCCACTTGTGATCATACTGTATTATTTCATTTTAATTCTTAATATATCAAGATTATAAGAGAAAGTTATTTTGGCTGGCTCCGTCAACTCCGGCCTAAGTATTGTGGGCGTTTCCCACGCTTTCTCTTTTATCTCCATGTTCTCACACAATTATTGTTTTAGTACCTGTGTAATGTCCCTGAAAAAAATAATGCATCAAACTATACAGCTGTTGTTGGTTGTTGGGTTGCTCCAAGTGTTGTTTTTTTTTCTTATTTTAAATCATGCTGTAATGAAAACTCGATTTTAAAAAATCCTTTATTAGTCGGGCTGTGGGGGTGAACGCTTTTATTTCCAGCACACAGGAGGCAGGGACAGGTAGATCCCTGAGTTCGAGGCCAGCCTGGTCTACAGAGTGAGTTCCAGGACAGTCAGAGCTACACAGAGAAACCCAGTCTTGAAAAAACAAAAAAACCAACCAAACAAAAAAACCCAAAAAAATTACTGAATGAGTCTATCCCATAAAAGTTGCTCTTCTTGTAAGTGAGTCGCAATGAAACCATTGAACTAGGGTAGAAAGATAATTATTTGGGTGCAAACTGTCCAGCTGACTCAGAGACTATAGAACACCATCCTTCAGAATAAGCCTTATCAGTTTTATTGGAATAGACTCATTCAGCAGCACTGCCTGCCACACAGTGTCACCTGCTTTGTGACCTAACAATTTTAACCATTTTAAAATGTGCAACTCGGTGGCACTAGCTATGTTTGCAGTGTCTGCTGCCATCGTTACTATTCTCTTTAAAAACTTCATTCTCATTTCCATCTAGTGAGAAAGTAGCCAAGATAGCATCTAATTAGCATCAATGTAAGTGGAATCATGTAATAAATGTCTCTTGTGACTAGTTTATTTCTTGTCGCATATATTCAAGGTTGAAACACATTGTACCACATTTAAGAACTCCATTCCTCTTTATGGCTTGGTAGTATTCAGTCATTTTCATGTGCAGCATTTTGTTAATTTGTTTCATCTGCTAAAAGACATGGGTTCGTCTCTCTTTAAAGTATGTTTTCGTGCATTTATGTATGTGCACCACTTGTGTTCCTAAAATGCGTGGAAGCCAAAAGAGGGCCTTGGTTCCCCTGGAACTAGAGTTACAAATAGTTGTGAGCTGCCTGCCACAAGAGTGCTGAAAACTAAACCCAGGTCCTCTGCAAGAGCAGCAAGTGCTCTTCATTTCTGAGCCATCTCTCAGCTCTTGTTTGTATCTTTTAACCTTGTGAATTAAGCTGCACTGAACACTGGTTTGCATGTTTATATGAAGGGTCTGCTTTTAAAAAATAATATTTATTTTTACATATGCATGTGTGAATGTGTGGATCGTGTGAACTTGAGTGCAGGTACCTGCAGAAGCTGGTGGATCCTCTGGAACTGGAGTTACAGGTTATTGTGAGCTACCATAGTGCTGGGAACTGAACTTGGTTCTTCTGCAAGACCGATGCACACTCTTAACTACTGAATGGTCTCCCAGCTTGTTACTATTGTTATTAATTATTATTATTACTTTTTTATTTTTAATTTTTTGAGATAGAGTTCCTATATGCAACAGCCCTAGCTGTCCTGGAACTCACTTTGCAGACAGACCAGGCTAGCCTCAAACACACCCTTATCTACCTGCCTCTGTCTCCCAAAAGCTGGAATGAAAGACATGTGCCCCTATGCCCAGCTTCATTATTATTTTTTAATAATATTATTAAGTTTATTTTTTGACTACTCAAGTGTACATGATCCACACAGACACATGTATATACACAAATAAAAGTAAAAATAAGCCGGGCACACACCTTTAATCCCAGCACTCAGGAGGCAGAGGCAGATGGATCTTTGTGAGTTCGAGACAAGCCTGGTCTACAAGAGCTAGTTCCAGGACAGCCTCCAAAGCCACAGAGAAACCCTGTCTCAAAAAAACCAAATAAAAAAAGTAAAAAATAAATATTAATTTTTCTTAAAAAGCAGACATTTCATTTAAACTCTTACATCAGTGTTCATTGCAGCTTAATTCACAATGATCAAAAGATACCGTTATTTAAGCTTATTATTCTTTAAAGTACTTTAAGCCAGGGGTAGTAGTATAGTCCCAGAACTCAGGAGACAAAGACACACCATTGCAAATATGAGGCCAATAAAGCTGTCTCAAAAAGCAGAACAAGATTGGGGGTGTAGCTCAGTATTAAAGTGCTTGTCTATGCTCTAGGTTCTATTCCTAGCATGGGGGGGGGACCCAAAAGACACATAAATTATAATTCTTGAAGTAAGCAATAACTTCCATGGTCAATTTCAGCAAACGAAGGCAGCAGAACAGCAGGAAGTGGAATGTGGTAGTTTGAATGAGAATGGCCTCTATAGGGTCATATGTTCAAATATTTGATCCTAATTGGTAAAATGTTTGAGATTAGGAGGTGTGGCCTTGTTGAAGGAGGCAAGTCACTGCAGGCAGGCTGTGAGGTTTCAAAATGCTTGAGCCATTCCTAGTTGTGGATCAAGATGTGATTGATGTCTCAGCTCTTCCTGCCATCATGCCTTTGTTCTGACATCAAGCCTCTAACCCTCTGAAACAGTAAGCCCAATTAAACACTTTCATAAGTTGTCTTGGTCTTCATCGTCTTTTGTCACAGCAATAGAAAAGTAACTAAGTTTATCTTTTTAAAAGATCTGCTGAACTTTTGAGGTTATTTGTTGCTCTAGCACCGTTTACTGCTTATTGTAGTTGCTACTTAAAATTTATATATGACAACGGATCAACATTCTGTGACATTCCTGTTAATCAATGTGATTATAATATTCTATTTCCTGTAGTCTCCTTGGCAGTTTCTTATTGTTTAGTGTTTGTTTTTCATCTAAAAACCAGACCTCTTGGAGGCCATTTTGGAAACTTTTTCTGTGTAATGCATGAAAGGTAGGTAGTTTTTCCTTATCTAAGGTGGGTGGTGATACACTGTCTTGGTTGTAAAAAACAGGAATCCTAGGAGATAATAGATGGCCCTTGATCAGCTGTTGTCTATCAGCATAGAAAGGAATGTCTGTACTGAGAGCTGATCTCCCAAGGTAGTCTGTCTCACCTTGGGCAAAGTTTCAGGAAGAAGACACTATAGGAAAGAAACTTGAACTACGGCTGCAAAAATGTACCCATTCACAAGTCCCTTATAAATGGTTGTAATTAGCTTTTTCCCTTAGCCAACCTCTCAATTTCCCACAGGAAAGAGGCTGCCGTGTAGTGACAGGCTGCCCTGTAGTGATTGTTATCTGAGTTGCTCATTTGATGGAATCACAAAGCCTTAGTCTGAGACATACCTGGCAAACCAGGAAGTTTCCTATCCCTGAGAATGCTTAGGTAATGTTTCCTTCAAGCAACTCCAGATAAGAGGTTTGGGTATGCAGAAATCGGTTTGCTAAAGGTGTCTTTTATACAACAATAAAGAGGCTTTTGCAAAGCCACAAGACAGCCAATTCATCATACACTGAGTTCCCTGCTGCTGCTAAATCCTTAAAGCATGCTGGAGTGACTTTCTTCAACTGACCCATATAACACAGAACACTGACATTTTGGCAACTATTAACAATGTGGAACAAACAATTTACCTGTATTTTATTTAGTGGAAAAATAATTATTGTAGTCTCTTTATCAGTAAAAGATTATTTGTATGAGCTGCCACATTAGCAGCCATATTATTTAATAAGCTAATAATTTGTTCTGTTTCAGGTGTTACATTTTAATAGAACTTATGCAAGAATTTCCTGAAAGCAACTTAAAGAACATGGGACTCTTAATCTCAGGGTCATGGGTTCAAGCCCCACATTAGGTGCCAAATGTCCTCTCATGTGGAATTGTTTGAAGGAACCATTACCTAAGCAATTCTCAGTCATATGAAACTTATTTCTTATTTGGTATTTTCCCAGTAAAATTGGAAAATTTTAATACTTTCAAGCCATACTTTTTCCCTGTAGCATTTCAGGCACTGTCCCTTTGTGTTTTAGCATTAAATCTTATATATTTTCTTAAGTATGTGGGCATAATCATAAATAATGAACACAGTGTACAAAGGAATGCTAATTTTGTTGATTGTGATAATGAAAATTTGACCGCAATAATATCTTTATGTATTATATATAACTTCTAAAGTATTTATGAGTGAAGCTATAATGTTAAGGATGTGCTGTTAAAATTTTGTAACGGAGCTGAGACAGGAGCTCAGTGGTAGAACACATGCTTAGCTTGTGTGAGGCGTGATCCCATCCCCAGCACCACAAATACAATAAGGAAGAAAGAAAGAGATCATAATAGAAAGAGAAGTAACTTCATAGGCAAGTATGAAAATTGATTCCCCTATCTACCATAAGACCCATCTATACAACTCTTGAGCTTATACCCAAAGGATATTCCATCATACGACTAGGAAACTTGCTTAACTATGTTCATAGCAGCTTTATTTGTAATAGTCAGAACCTAGAAATAACCTAGATATCCCTCAACCAAAGATGGATAAAGAAAATGTGGTACATTTTCACAATGGCATATTACTCAGCTGTTAAAAACAATGACATCCTGAAATTTGAAGGCAAATGCATGGAA